CAATTTAAACACTAAAATATATAGTTTCCGTTCATTAATTGATATAAAATCATAATGACAACCATATTTCATATAAATTATGAGTTAGTTGATACAGTAAAGTGCATTTTAAATTTAGAAGCTTTGAAATTTATAATGCCGATTTTTGGCGCAGGCCACTAAAACCCATTCATTACTTTATTTTGTGTTTAAATAATTTTTCCCACATTCAAAAAATTTAATACCGAAACTACTGAATGCTACCAGTGACGTCCAGGCCAACACTTTTACCATCCATTTAAATCTTAATATAAGGAGTTACCTGTCCAAAACATAATATTGTTCATACAAACAAAAAATGCTTAAAACTTACACACCCTATAACACTGCAAAGGTGAATTTTATCTCTAACTTTATTTAGTGTTTCGCATAAGAAATATATTGAGGTGTTTGCGCTCAAAATACTTTTGCGGTTTCTGTTACCGGTTAGTAAGTTATTGTAAAATAAAGCTTGCCTACATATGGGCGCATTGGCTTAAAAATATAGTCCCTAAGTTTAACGACAGCAAACAATTTTATGGGCAAATAAATGGAAGTTGTATTCAAAAGTGAATGCTTAAATATTTTTCATACTTCTTATATAAATAATCGTTTTATTTTTTTATGTAAAATATAAAATAAATTCAATGTCATCCATACATATTTGTACAGTGTTGCAAGTGATGCATATAAAAATTAATTCAGTTAACTTTGATATAGATTTTTTTTATCTCGTAATCCCAAAAACAAAAATTTTATTTTTTATCCAAAAATTTTTAATTAAAAAATTTACAACCCGTATATACTTGTAGTTATCAATTAACTTACCTGACAAATAATTTCCGCCATGCATATTTCCATATATTACTGTGCATCGTTTGATTTTCATTGCATTGTAAAAGTTAAAACTTTTATTAATTCACAACTTTCTACAAATTTCCCGCCAATGCTTAATAGATACAAATTGAGTTCGTAATCCCTTGTGCTGACTAGTTGACAAATTTTTGCCGTAGTATTATCCTGCGCTTTGCTGACCTAGAAAAAATGGCGAACAAACGAAAAAACTCAGCAAAGTTAAATAATATAAAGCAAAAATTGGTGAATGCTTCGATGGTGCTGAGGGTGTGAGTTGTGTGCATGTATGTGCATGTAAGGCGTATGTATATGTGATTGGTTAAAAATAACTTCGTGTTTGACAAGCAGGTTTACACACACTCATATGTGTATGTGTGCAGATTTTCAATGTCATTGCAATCAGAACTTTACATAGCAAACACACACACTCGTTTTTGAATTTGTTTGCAAGTCTACTTTTGCACAAAAACCCTGCAAGAAATTAATTGCATTTAAAAGCAACTAAAACTCATGAAAGTTGCAGTATTTTTGAAAGTCTGTTAGGAAAAGAACAAACTTTCATATTTTGTGTGGAATTGTGATAGAAGAAGATTGCAGAAGCTTTGTTTTATAGAAACTGAAATTTGTAATAACCTGAGGTATATGTGTTCGGTACGTTTATTTCGGAGCAGTTTCCTCGAAAGTCCAAAATATTTATGAAATATACAGGTAGCGGAAGAGCGAATAATCAAAGATTAATTTGGTAATTACAGACTTTAGACATCACCAAATTGGGTAAATTCGTGTTTATTTCAGGAAATACCAATATGAAGTAATGTGCTTCATACTCTCTTTCTCGTAGTATTAGTTTCGATGAACCGCTATTAGCACAGTTTCGGCAAACCACTTGCTTTGCCTTGGTCCATGCACCTTTGTTTGCATCTGGTTCGACTTTTCACTATCGATATACAATTTAATGTATATATAAATAATTGTTATATTTGGTTCTATTTTTTTATAATAATAATAATATTATCCCAACGATTACCCTCCTCCCGCCCTACCGACGCGAGGGGCGCAACCCGCATACGTGCGGAATTAGCCGAGTCAGAAGAGGCAAGAGAATTTTTAAGTGTTGAGATCCAAAACTGCTCAGCTACAGAAACAAAAATTTCAACAGCTAAGATTTATAGTTACGATATAATAAATTGTTACATATTTATTTATCAAGAAAAAGCAATAAAGTTTTTTTAATTTTAAAAATTTAGTTAGACAAGTCAAATGTGCTGGTCATGACTAATACGGCGGAATGGTTCATTTAGTTCGAAATTTGATCTAATATTACGCCAAGCATTTTCCTACTAATAGAAAGTGTAGGTAGATTTACAAGTTTGAAACGACTAGTGTATGGAGGTAGACTTACCCTAGAATTGTATCGGAAATGCCTTAAGGTGAAAAGTAAAAATTGTTTTTGTACAGACTCTAACTTGTCAGAATAGATTTGGTAGCTAGGGTTCCATACCACAGAGCCATATTCCAATATAGGTCTAACCAAAGTTGTATAAAGTGTTTTAGTAATATACGGATCTCTAAATTCTTTAGACCAACGTTTAACAAAACTGAGGACAGCTTTTGCTTTCAAGGCCATGGTATCAATATGAAGACTAAAATTAAGCTTGGGGTCCATATTACCTCCCAAATCAACATAGCTAAAAACTTGCTCCAGAATATGGTGTTTTATTGCATAAGAAGAGGGTTAAACATCCCATGTTTGCAACAGACACATTTCCTCAGTTGAAGTGTATGATTTAAAAAAATGTATGTAAAATATATTTCAAATTTAATGCTATATATATATGTGATGAACAGGGTTGCAAATAATGAATAATAAAAATTATTGAATTAATATTCGAATTGATTTTTTTTTTGTACCAGAAAAACTTCTCACACAGTTTTGTGATGGCTTGACTCAGTATTATTTTATTACGCGTCAAAGATGGACACCAGCAAAGGAAATACCATATACCATACTTAATATTTTACAGCCGTAAGCTAGACGGCTGAAAATGTGAATTGTGTTTACGATCCAATTTTGTTATCAAAGATGCACCTCGCTCTGGAAGACAAATTATGATGGATACAAAGAGAAGCTCCTATATGAGAGCCACATGAGTTAACGCAAAAACTCTCATGTTCTGAATATCCATCTGCGAACCGCTACTGAATCGTAACAAAATCGATCCATTTCTGAAGCGCATGGTTACTGGTGATGAAAAATGGGTTACTTACGACAATGTCAAGTGAAAACGATCGTCTTCGAAACGGGGGTGAACTGAAAATTAAATGATCACATTTATGTACCTAATCCTGAAGTTCGACCATATAGGTGTTAAAGAAAGCCTAGGAAACTCCATAGTGATTACACTCGTATAATAAAAGAAACGTGTGTGTACTTTTCAAAGAAGTATTTTTATACCCTGAACAGGGTATATTAAGCTTGCCACGATGTTTGTAACACCTAAAAGAAAGTCGGATAGCCTATAAAAAATATATATACGTTATCAGCGTGACGAGCCGAATCGATTTAGGCATATCCATCTGTAGATACGCCAACTAGTTTCTCAGTTTTTGGGATATCGTTCTGAAATTTTGCACACGTCCTTTTCTCTATATAGCTGCCATACAAACTGAACGATCGGAATCAAATCCTTGAAATCTTTTTTGTATTTGACGAGATATCTTTAAGAAATTCGGTATATATTATTTTCTAAGACAACGCTACAATATATGATGAAATTTTCTACATCGAACTACTATATTATATAGCTGTCATACAAACTGAACGATCATACTCAAGTTCTTCTATGGAAACTTCGCTATTTGTGAAGGGTACTCCAGTTTTGGTGCAACCGAAGTTAACATTTTATTAAATCTCCAGAGAAAATTGTTTAGATCGGATTTCTATAGCACATTGCGACCATCAAAATCAGAACAAAGATATTTTTATACCCTTTTAGGCTATGAAAAATGCACTTGTGAAGAGTATTATACTTTCAGTGCAGTTGAAGTTAACCGTTTTCTTGTTTCTTAATACACTTGCTACCCTCAAAAATTTATTAAATTTTTTAATAATTTTTTTCATTTTCATTTATTTTGAAATAAATTATGCGCTGATTTCACAACTACGTAATTCCTTTTCACAAAATATATTATTTGATATTCTATATTAAATATTTAATACATAAGTACACATATGCTAAGAATATATTAATATTTATACACGAGTATGTAATTGTTAACTGCTAAAGCCAATCGGCAGACACACTAATACACATGTACGCCCATTTAGAGATATAAATGTGTATTTGCAACAACTGGTGTGCAACCAATCGTTCTATGGTAGTTTGTATATGTATGAGTGTGTGTATGTATTTCATTATCCTGTTGGTCTTATCACCACGACCGACTGCCCCAATGCCTTATATTATATGTAAATTGAATATGTAGTTGACTAAGGTAGTCGGTTAGAACTGAAACTTCTCGTTGCAGTTTATTTATAAGTTGCGATATTTACGAGAGCACAAAAGAGCGTTGTATAGAAAATACTGGGTTTTGCTTTGGTACTAAAAAGTTTTGCGCATGCGCTTTGCAATTCGAATTTTTGGCGCCATTTTTGGTTTGTTTTCATTGCCTTTGGTTCCAAATCAGCTGTTTTCACGCACGAGCTCCTTGCTTACACTAAAGGATGACAAAATCTCCCTCTCTCTCACTTTGGTGATTCGCAGCTCTCCATTTCAACTTGGTCGCATAAATACCTTTTCACCAATGCAGTTTGCAGTTCGAGTGCGCTCTCAAGGCGTCCAAATCGGAAGCTGTAAACACCGTTATTTCGCTGCTTTAGTCAGCGTTGCAGCTCTGTCTCACATTTACTGTTGCTGCCCCCGTTAAATTGCCTTTGACACTTGGCTTCTTGCAGGCCATCATCATCCTCGTCGTTATGACCGTCGTTTTCAATGCTATAACTGTCGTCGGCCAACGGGTTTGCTTCGTGCGTGTAAGGGGATTCTCACATGCCCCATCAGAGTGTGGTGCTTCGCATAGCGTTGCAGCACAGCTCCTAAGCGTTTGAGGTGCCGCGTTTCAGTGTTGTTCAAGCCGCGTAAGACTTTGGTTCGCTTAGGAAGCGTAGTCTCGGCATTCAATTCGATTTTACTTGGTTCAAAATAAATACTTGGTGGCTACATGAAATTTCTCAACGCACACATACACACTTATGTAGTATATATTGTATATATGTGTGTTGTGGCACAATAGACCGGTAGGACGTGGCGTATACGTAATAAAATGAAAACATCATCGAATAGTGTTAGAAAAAACAAAGCAACATAAAATAGAGGAGGGAAAAAAACCAGCTAAGAAAAACAAAATTGCGCGGCCAACGCCAGTGGCTTAAAGGCAAAAGCAAGAACAAAACCAAAATAAACGAATGTGGCTATTGTGTACGTGTTATTGTGTTAGAGCCGGATTTAATTGGCAATGAAATGGTAAAATAACAAAAGGCAACCATTACAGCTTGTTTGTGCAGGCGTGCGTTCCTCAAATTATCTGACTGTGCGCCAAGTTTTTTTTTTTTGCCATAAAACACATGTAAACGTCAATTCTTTGCTTGTGATAAAAAGGATTTTGGTATTTTATGAAAATGCTTTTGCTTGGAAGTGTTGCTGCAAGTTGTTGCGGGTAAAAGTGCTGATTAAAAAAAAATAATTAAAAAGAAAACCAAAAAATTAAAAAATAAAAAAAGGTAAAGGTAAACTGATATTCAATTAAAAATTGCCGCAAAGAAACTAATATTCTACCTTTGTTAGCACATACATACACATACCTGCGAAAAACACCCCGAAGCCAATAAACGCGGCCATTTAAAAATTTTTAAATGTGTTGCACAAAATGCAGTGCATTAATTATTTATATTTCGTTTACGGCATTTGATTGAAATAATGTTTTTGCATGCAGTGTTTTGCATTAAAAGTGTTAAATAATTGAGTGAATCGTTTTGTGCGCCTAAAAATATGCAGCGCTATTGTCAATGGGAGTATGTGCATCAATTTAATAACTAAAGGTATATTAGCAATGAAATATTTATAGTAAACCGTTATAAGCATTAAGCAAATGAAATTTGTTTCATGTGATATATTGACTTTATAAAATTAATATTGGACAAAATTTGTATTGCCAAAATATATTTGGCTCCAAACAATTCAGCTAATAATGTTTTATTTTTTTAAATGCTTTAAAACTGTAATATAAATTTTATGGATATCAAAAATACTATTATTTTAAATTTTTATTTGTTAAAAATGGGGTTTCTTTCACTTTATATAGTCTTTAGTTAAACTTATTTTTATATTATATAATTAGAGTTATAGAATAAAGTTTGGTCTAAAAATGTTGCTTCCATTTTGGCGGAGTGATTGCTTTATAAATATAAATTCGATAGAAATCAAACATATATTTTTTTTTAATTTTCATTTCATAAAAAACAGTTTTCTTTTGCAGAGATTTGACACACTCTCTATTAAAACGTAGTAAAGAAAAAAATTATATTAAATATCTTGCAAATTTCCCTTAGACTATATATAATGTAATGACAAAAATATTATAAATATAAATATTCAAATAATATCCATTTATTTGGTTTATGTGTAACTACGCTGAGTTAGAAAAATTCGCAAATATTTTTCTATATTTTATATTCTTTAATTAAGGTTATAGAACAAAGTTTGGCCTTAAAATTTTGCTTACATATTGGAACACATCATTGATAAATAGTAACAGCAAGTTCTTCAAGATAACAGTGTGGATTAAACACTACTTTTACAACAAACAGTTAAGAGTGAAAACCAGGTTTTAGTATCCCTAGTCAGATGAAAAAACAACGACCAAACGGACTGCCTTTGGATGCTTGTATAAATACTTGAACAAATGTTTATAATTCAATTATAAGTATATATATTTTTTTTACTTGAGGGCTACTATAAAGATATTATTTTATGTTAAATTTATAATTTTATTTAGCATAGTTAGCAATATATGTTGCCAGTTTGCAGGTAATAAACATAAGGCCACTCTCTTAGAAACTCCGGTACCTATTGGCAAAAAAATTGCTACATTCGATTTTAGTAAACTCCTCTTGAGACGAATTTATTGCTACCAAAATCATTTGCCATAGATAGGCACAAAGAGTAATCACCTGAAACCAGGGACGATAACCAACCAAGCTGCCAGATTTCTGGGGCGGCATTATCGGTACATATGGCCAGGCGTTATTCTGATGAAAAATAGCTTCTCTCCTCTTGGCCGAAGCTGTCTGCTATTGGGCGATTGTTTCTTTAAGGCGGAATTGTTGGCTGTACAAGTTTTCGCTTAAGAAATGGATCGCTTCTGCCGTGATTTGCAGTTGAAAATTCGGTTAATGAGATTTTTGGTGATAACTCGTTTGGTACCCATTTATCGGGTTTCTGCTTGCATCCAGCCTTACTTAAATGGCTCCAATTTAAATAATGCTGACGGTCTCCAATTACTTTGTCAGTATTTTCGACATGTGGTTTTCCAGAGTGTGGTGCTTCTTTGACATAAAAGTTGCCATAACGGAATTGGTGAAATCAAAAATGCATGGATTGGCAGTCCCCATATTCGACACGAGCACAAATAATACTGAGTCAAGTAATCACAACACTGTCCATTGGACTTACACAATGTGAGATACTTAATTTAATGGCATCTATCGGAAAACTAACGGATTTATTTTTACTAGATTTTATATAAACAGTATTAGAAAGATTCAACCCAGAGAATCAATATTTTTTTTCTGGGATAGTTAGAAAAGCTACTGAAGCTGCTCAGCGATCGTTTGAAATTTATTTGGTATGATATGACCAGTGATTGTTTATTTCTTTAATATAAATTTATTTAAATAAATAATAATATATTTATTTGTTCAGTGCAAATACAATATAATTCCTCATTGCGATGTTTAGGTGAGGGAGAAGATTGAATATTTGTCGATACTTTCCGATGTTTGGGCTTAAGTACAATAATAAAACAATAAAGTGATGTAATGTAAAAAAGGTGTATTTAAAGTGAAAGAAAGGTTAAAGTTTGATTCATATATGAGCTTCCTCAGTTAAATTGTGCCCTTTGGGCTCATGAAATTGTGATATAAACTAAAATTTTCTTTTCAGTGGATGTTGCACTCATTTTTATATAATAGAAGATATTTGTAAGTTTAAAAAAAAAATGTTTTAAGTTTGAAATCTATAAGGTCTTGCTATTGTTTGGGTGAGATAATATCAGATAAAACTAGGAAATTTAAAAAATGAAACGATGTTAAAATCAGTGTTTAAAGGTAGGTACTTTTTACTATAACCTCTTCTTTGCCATACAATGCACCACATTTACGAATTCGCTCGGCACCACTTCATGCTACACGCTGATGGTGACATTAAAATGTGTGTAATTGTTCGTTAGTGTGCGTGGACGTGGAAAATTTATTTGCTCCTCGAGGAAGTCAACAGCCATAAAAATGGGCAACCGCCTCAACCACGGCGAAACAATCAACACAAGCCAGCTGACTGCGGCCAACGCAACACATAACCGGATCCATAACCATGAGCGACTGAAGTAATATAACAGTTGCACGCGGTGACCGTTGCTGGTGGCAGCCACAAAAGAAGAAGACAAAACCTTTTCTTTCTTTCCGTTATTAAGGCTTCCATTGGCAGTATATGTAGTTGTACTGGCGGTTTGGTGGGTGCAGCGGTCAGCATCATTTTCATAATGAACATCATCACCAACTTGCAACATTGCGCTCAGATTGCGTTTGCAACGCCTTCACTTTCTTGCTGACATTGCCGGTTTTCAAGGCAACAGTAGGCACACACACACATACACACCCGCGCGCGTAATCACGCTATAATTTATACTATGTGTGTTCAGTTTACTAAGCAACTATGTTGCAAAGATGCCGAGTTGCAGTTTGCTGTAATTTTGTTGTAACCAGCATTGTTTGCTGTTTGATGGATGCTTAAGTTTCTGGCAAGCTGCTGCGTTGCTCTGTTTAAAGTTCTGTACCTTACAGTTCATAGTTTTTTATCGCAGTTCTTGAACTCCCAGCACTTCTTGCTCCCTCTACCTTTCGCTGGCTCGAGAAATGCTGATTCTGCCACAACAAAGATCTTCAACCAAAGCCGCAAAATTATTCAAGAGTACCAGACTCTAGCAGCTTGCTCACTCTCACATGCTCAGTCAGTTCGTGCGGCAGTCTGTCCAATGTATGCACACTCACGCACTCACGAGCTCTTCACATGAGTTTTCCAAATTTTAATCATGTCCATCCTGGGCCCACATAAAGTGTTAAATGCTCGAAACAAAAGCATTTCATTATGCCTCTTCCGCCCAATTATTTACTGTGGATTCCCTTTTGCATGTTGAAACGTGTAATTGTTATTGCAAGGGAAAATGAGAAGTAGCATGTATGGCTGACCGTTCAACTTAACCGACTTATTACACTTCATCTTTATTTGCCAACGCCTTTTCTCTTTCCAAATGAGATGACCTACCAAGCTTAAACGATGGATGTCGACTCGTTGAACTATTTTTACTGGATAAAAGTGTAAAACGGTTTTTCGGCTAACTTTTTAAATCATTTCCCATCTTGTGCAAAAATATATCCATATATTTACAGAGATATTTGAATAAAGCAGTAAAAAGAAATAACTTTCTGAGATCAATAATTTCGAGTTCGGTTTTCACTAATTTTAGATATTATTATTTGAAACAAATTCGATCGCTTTTTAAATTCTTTGGTGAAACATATTTTATGAAAAACTTGGCACAAGTGGTTGCTTCTTATATTCTTGGATTGAGATAAATGTTTTCAACACTATCCAGCTAAGGTGTATGGAGAATGATGAGTAGCAATTTTCTCGATTTTTAATTGCAACAAACTATTGTTCATAAGAGCACTCCTAGATATATTCCACTTAGCTAAAGTTCTAGGTCTCATTCCCCTTAAGGCGATATTTCTTCGGTCCGTTGAAACTATCTAAGAGCACTTATATACATATATATCTATGTAATTGATGAATTGTAAAAAACTGAAAAATTTTTAATTATATATTAAACTGGGATATAGAATAAAGTTAATAATTTGAAACTGGTATGCACCACTGCCGGTGCGACGTAGTCGACTTCTCGGCAATAGACTTTAGCTTCAGAAACGTGAAATCCAACATTTTGTCATAATCGTGAAACTTACAAAAAAAAACATTACTTTCTATATTAGAAAAAAACGCAAAAAGATCAATTCTTCTTTTCAAATGTAGACGATCCCCTTACGCCTTCTCCTAAGCGTAAATAAGTTAAATTTCACGTTAAAAATATATTCGCATGCTTGACATGCCACCAAGGGTTCTCAAGCGGTAAGTAAATAATTTACAAAAAATTAAGTTTACTTCCATTAGGGTTTGAGCCTCTTACCCTCCGGGCGATAACTCTGCACCCATCACTTTCCTCTATGGCAACCAATTTAACATTATTCGTCAGCGAAATGCTGATCTTTTTCATTATGATAATATTTTGAGTGCACATGTAAAGCCAATGGCCATATGAGAATACAACCATGTTTCAAGGTTGAACCAACTAAGTAAGCCAGAACTGACTAACTGTTGTCTATTCCAAGTAACAATTATGTGAATACATATTTACATGTTTTGTGCATGTTCCGCTCTTATAACGGACATTTTATTTTCCACACTATTCTACTATAACTAATTTCAGTAAATTATCTGCAGCAATTCAAAATATGTACATTAGGGTGAACCAAAAAAAACACACAACAAAATATATATTTGCTGTACTAATTATTTTCAAAATTTAAGGGTGTATTTATACATTTTAAGAATACGAAGTAAAATTTTGTGGAATAGAATTGAGTGTTTTCCAGTTTCACGGCATCTCCGATTGCTTAAAAAAAATAACCTCCAGTAGATGAAACCTAAAAAAAGTTCTCTACTTAAAGATATTGTTCATACAATGACCTACGTTCGAAATGACGGCATT